GGGACTTGCTTATTCGACCAGATCGCCATTGAGAGCCTACTATACAATAATATTGGGCAGTATCTTGTTATCCTGTTTATGTGTATAGTATATGTAATTTGTATGCTGATAGTTCTGTTTTCTTATAATTAAATATTTATTTGTGGGCTGAACCACTCTTGTGTTATTAGTATAGTTTAAGTATTAATAGACTTGCAAGTGAGAGCTAGTGAGAGTTTTCCTTGAATGATAGAGTGAGTGTGAAGTAGGATTAGTGTAGAATACTTCATCAGGAAATTAATCGTACCCTAGACATAACCATACTAGCAGTACTAATCTAACGTAGAGGAAAGGGACCTTTGTTTGTTAATACAAACATTAAACATTGCAAACACCCATACTTTTAACAATTGGGTCAGTACATTAATTAATTACAACACATCATAGTTTTGTAACAATAGAATTGTAACAACGTGTCATTATAGGTCAGTACAAATAGAGCCACATGTCATTATAGGTGAGTAAAAACAGCCACATGTCATAAAATATAAGTACAAACAGCCACATGTCATTATAGATAAGAACAAACAGAGCCACATGTCATTATAGGTCAGTACAAACAGCCATATGTCATTATAGGTAAGTACAAACAGCCACATGTCATTATACGTAAGTACAAACAGAGCCACATGTCATTATAGGTGAGTAAAAACAGCCACATGTCATAAAATATAAGTACAAACAGCCACATGTCATTATAGATAAGTACAAACAGAGCCACATGTCATTATAGGTGAGTAAAAACAGCCACATGTCATAAAATATAAGTACAAACAGCCACATGTCATTATAGATAAGTACAAACAGAGCCACATGTCATTATAGGTCAGTACAAACAGCCATATGTCATTATAGGTAAGTACAAACAGCCACATGTCATTATACGTAAGTACAAACAGAGCCACATGTCATCATAGGTCAGTAAAAACAGCCACATGTCATAGGTCAGTACAAACAGTCACATGTCATTATAGGTAAGTTCAAATAGAGCCACGTCTCATAGGTCAGTACAAACAGCCACCTGTCATTATGGGTCAGTAAAAATAGAGCAACATGTCATAGGTCAGTACAAATAGCCACATGTCATAGGTCAGTAAAAACAGCCA